GTCCGTCTCCGCGCTGATCTTCGCCTGCTCGGATTGCTGGATGAGCGTGTTCACCCTGGTCTGCGCCTCCTCCGAGCCCCGCTGGCGGGAGGGCAGGAGAGAGACGATCAGCTCCACCAGGTTGTCCCTGTCCGTCTCCAGCTTGAGGATGCGCGCGTCGATGTCCTCCAACGTGCTCTCCTCCTTTGCCTGTCGCCTCGCGCTGCGCTCCATGTCCGCGGCCATCTTCATCTTCAACCCGTTCTTCTTCTGGAACTTGTAGAGAAACGTGGTCTTGCGTGCTCTCGTTTTCGGCGTCGGCGCCGACGTCGAAGAACTCGCAGCCTGAGCCCACGCCAGCGGCTTCTTGGGAGCACTCTGGCGCTCGAGCTCATTCCTGTCGCACTTGCGGATGGCCTCCTCCTGCGTCCTCCTTGTGGTAGGAGGCGGCGGCATGTGGCAGAACGGGCACCGCATCCTGAAGCCAAAGAGCACCACCTTCCTCTTTAGCTCCTTGGCACAGCCCTCGCACTTCCACTCTGGGAGGTTGCAGCCCTTCAGCCTCCACTCCTGGGTCACGTCGATCTGGCCCTCGAGGTTCGCGAAGGGGCTCCGCTTGGTCTGGTCCTTGTTAATATGCTTATTGCTCTTCTTCTTCTCCTGAGCCTGCACCTTTCCCGCAGCCGACGCGGACGACTCCACATGGCGCCACGGGATCTTCTTTATCACTGGCGGTGGGGGCTTCGGCAGCCACTGACTCCCCACCTTCACTCGCCTCGGCGGCGCTTTCAAGAAGTCCGCAAGCTTGCCCTCCTGCACGCTCTGCTTGGACCTCTGCCTCGGCTGCACTCCCGCCTTTTGGGCCCAAGGTCTGGTAGGCCTGGGAGGCGACGACCTCGACCTCGGCAATGTCGATGTCGACCTCGAGGCCCTCAAGAAGTCCCCGAACAGGTTCCCGGAATCCGCGCCATAAAAGCTCTCCCCTATGAAGAACGAAGACGCGGAGGCATCAGGCCACTGCCATGGCTCGCAGCAGCTGCGCCGCTCTGAATCGAGCTGCCGCACGCCCCCACTTGGGCCAGAGCGGCTAGAAGGAGGAGGAGGAGAAGGAGAAGGAGGAGGAGAAGGAGAAGGAGGAGGAGGAGGAGGAGGATCAGGAGAGGGAGGAGCAGGATGAGGAGGAGCAGGAGGAGGAGGAGGAGGAGGAGAAGCAGAAGGAGGAGGTGGAGGAGGAGGAGAGGGAGGAGGAGGAGGAGGAGGAGGAGGAGGAGGAGGAGGAGAAGGAGGAGAGGAGGAGGAGGAGGAGGAGGAGGAGGAGGAGGAGGAGAGGAGGAGGAGGAAGAGGAGGAGGAGAAGGAGGAGGAGGGGAGGAGGAGGAAGAGGAGAGGAGGAGGAGGAGGAGGAGGAGAGAGGAGGAGAGGAGAAGGATGAGCAGGAGGAGGGGGAGGAGGGAGAGGAGGAGGAGGAGGAGGAGGAGGAGGAGGAGGAGAGGACGGAGGAGCAGGAAGAGGAGGAGGAGGAGGATAAGGAGGAGGAGAGGGAGGAGCAGGAGGAGGAGGAGCAGGAGGAGGAGGAGGAGGAGGAGGAGGAGCAGGAGGAGGAGGAGGAGGAGGTGGAGGAGGAGGAGGAGGAGGAGGAGCAGGAGGAGGAGGAGGAGAAGGAGAAGGAGGAGGAGGAGGAGGAGGAGGAGGAGGAGGATTTGCCTCGGAGTTGCCTGACACCCACAGAAGGTGGGGGCCTACCCACGGCAAGTCCGAGGGAGACGGACGACGCAGCAGAACAGGGGGGTGCCGGAGAGCCTCCACTCTCCTCACTCGCCCCAGGTCGCAGGTAGCAGCTGCCGCAGGGACGCGTCTACCTGGGTGCAGCCCCTTTTTGATCCGCGCCAGGTTTTCGCGCCCCTTGCGAGTGGCCTCAACGCACTGCCCCAGAAGGTGTCGGGGATCGGTCGTGGCCGTGCACCCGCACCGAGAGCCGAAATATAAACTATGACGCGGCCACAGCTGCAGCCGGTGGGACGTGTGAAGTTGTTTGCCCCCCACCCACACCTCAGCCCCCGCCGCCCTGATGATATCGGCCGGGTGACTCTCACTGGAGCTCCCCGCCGAATGGCACTGCGTGGCGCACGCCGCCTCCAACTGCGAGCCCGGCACAAGCTGTTGACAGAGGGCACAAGCCCAGTGGCGAGCTGCCTTGACAAAGCAATGGCCAGAGGTCGCGAGCGCCTGCTGGAGGGCAGGTTCGGCTGGACGCTTGGCGACAGCAGGGCGCTCAGCCGTCCAAGGAGCGGCGAGCGTCGCGTCGACGAATGCCTGTCGGGCGCGGCGGCGCACAAGCGCAGCCGTGCAGTCCCAGACATCAGTGTCAGGAGCCCTGCCCACGAGGGCCGCCGACCACGCTCGGCGGGCAGCGTCGCTGGCCAGGGAATCGGCCGCCCCGTTGCCCTCCGCCATCATCCCGTCCCATTCAGACAGGGACGGGTCGGAAGGATCAACGTGGCTCGGCGTCCAGACGACGCGGACCTCGCCGTCTCGTGCGGCGAAGGCGTCCCGAATTAGG